TCACGGGGAGGTGGAGCGACCTACGACGTCAACGGTTGCACTCCTCCCCCCCGAGGCCACGGCGACGCCACCCCCCCCCTCTACGACCTCCGACGATTTGACGTCGTGCGGCCCCCCTTCCCCTCCCTCGTCGCCAGTGGCTCACCTACCCCAATGGGGTACGGCGGAGGAGGTCGTGGTCTACGTGACTACACGAGCCGGTGCCACGAACCCCGGCGGCCCTTGGCGCCGGGGAAGGCCCGCCCCCGCGGCGGGGCGCGCTTCGTGCGCCTGCGCTTCTGGGGGGGACGCGAGCGTGTGCGCTTGCGGCGGCAGGAGAGGTCGGGACGAGTGGAAGGACGACCACGACGAAGGCGACGACGAGGCGAACGTGCACATGCGGACAAGCACGCACCAATGTGTTTGTTATCTGCGCCGCTCTGGGTGACAGCTGTCTCCAGCATCTGGGCAGGAAGACCCGTGGAGACACATGACACGCAAACTAGTTAAACGTACACTAGGTCGGGCATGTCCTCTGACAGGCGGATTTTGGAGGGAAAGTGAAACGTAGTCAAAACATATTCAGCAATAGTCGAAAATAGTAACAGCAGCGCCCTCTGACTAGTTGCTTGACGATTTCTGAACATGTCTCCTGTAGGAGGACATGCCCGACTTACACTTACACCTGCACCAAAATCCTGGCCAGGTCCACCCGGAGGGTGGGGGATCCGTGTCTGCTGCCTCCTGGCTCCTGGCTTTGGCCAGAAGGGTTAAGACGGGCGCGTCCCCAAACAGGAGGATTGTGAACGAAAAATTAAACATACCCCAAACATACTCCAAAGATGCCCAAAAATAGTCCAAAAATAATCCCGTGACTATTTTTGAACTATTTTTGAATTTCCCCCTGTAGAGGGACAGGCCCGACTTAACAGAAGGGCGCACACGCCAACCCACGGCTGCGAGTGGGCCTGATCACGATCGGCGCTGGTGTACAGTCGGTGTTCCCTGAATCTCGCTGGCCATTCCTAGAAGAAGAAAAAACGCCATCATAAGGAATCGAACTCTATACACCGACGCTTTCTCCGGCCCTGCATTGAAATTTGCACTGGAGAGCGGATCCTGGTGTATACGGGACCCTGGTCTGGTGGATGCATTTTTCGCTGTTTCCCCGGATATCGAGGAAAAAAGTATACACCACACCACCCCAGCGTCGTCCCCGACCCTCAAAAAGTCCTGGGATTGAAAAACAGCCCACCACTGGCACTGTAGATGTTCCAGCTTCCGACATTAACATAAACTGTCGGCGCTCCGCGCGGAGTTCTTGGATCTGCGCTGGACCCCCCTCCATGGCGCGCGGAGCGCCGGAGGCGCCGGAGGCGCCGCCAGGGGGGCCCCAGCGCGGATCCGGCACACCCGCGCGGAGCGCCAAAAATGTATGCTCCGGGGATGGACAGACCTCCCTACGTGGTTTAGTGAAAACGACCTCGGGCCCCAAACCTGGCGGGCGCAAGCCTGGAAAATAACGGCCGCGGCGCCTTCTCGCGAACCGAAAACGGACAATTCACTAATCGACGTGTCAGGGTAGGAGGTCTGTCCACCCCCGAATGTTTCTGGCGTTTACTCCTCTTCGATAGCCGGTGTCTCCCCGAATCTCGTTGGCCATTCCGTGCACGTGCCTAATTCCCTGCGTCGCTGCCTGTGCGCGGCAGAGGCTTTGCTGCGCAGCGCGAGTCGCCGAGCCGGCGCCGGCGCCCCGCGCGAGAGCGGGGGCCAGAGGGGGGGAGAGACCCGGAACGGAGGGTGCAGTCAACATCAATCGACAGGACGTGGTGCAAGAAAGTACAGTAGGGGCGTTGACCTAAGGAACCCTAAATAAGGAACGGGGCCCCTTTTTCCCGATAAGTTCAACCTCGATTTCCTATGGAAAACCTCAGGAAAACCCGAGGCACACTTCGAAACAATCAAGGAACACCGAGCCCCTCCCCAACGAAAGGGTTCCTTCTTCAGGGCCCCGACTGTATGTCGACTCCACGCAAGAGTGACACTGGGTAAGAGTGGCCTTTGGTGCGCGGCTTTCTGGGGGCCGCGCAGGGGCCAAACACAAGCGCGCACGGCGCTACTACCGCGCCGCGTTCGGCGATCGGGGGACAGGTCACTCCAGCAAAAGGTCACTCTTACGTGTGGTCGAGTATGGCACCTGGAACACGCCGGGTTGCCAGGGTACCCCTGGACCAAACAAGCAGAAGACATGCAGAGGATGTCCCGAATCGGAGGGTGCAACCCAGACCCCCGATGTCATGATTTTTTCATGACGCGACCCCCAGAGGTCCGGACCCATTCCCCGGGACCGGCTTTTCATCCTGAGTCGTTTTTTGGCGGTCCTGAGGGCTGGTAAGGGCCCCCCGAGGCCGAAAATAGTGAAAAACGTCCCGTCGTGATTTTTTCATGACTCGAGGGGGTCTGGCAACGGTGCCTTGCTTCAAAGGCTCGCCCTGACGGCCGGTTTTGACTTCAGGAGGCGAACCTGGTCCTCGGACGTCCTGAGTGCGTCAATACGGGGCCCGCGGACCTCTCGACACCTTCCCGGGGGGTCTGTCTTCATCACGAGTCGGTGGTTGTGCCACGGCCCCAGGAATATTCGTCCTCCTCCTGCTCCTCCTCCTCCTCCTCCTCCTCCTCCTCCTCCTCCTCCTCCTCCTGCTCCTCCTCCTCCTCCTCCTCCTCCTCCTCCTCCTCCTCCTCCTCCTCCCTCCTCTCCTCCTCCTCCTCCTCCTCCTCCTCCTCCTCCTCCTCCTCCTCCTCCTCCTCCTCCTCCTCCTCCTCCTCCTCCTCCTCCTCCTCCTCCTCCTCCTCCTCCTCCTCCTCCTCCTCCTCCTCCTCCTCCTCCTCCTCCTCCTCCCCTCCTCCTCCTCATCCTCCTCCTCCTCCCTCCTCCTCCTCCTCCTCCTCCTCCTCCTCCTCCTCCTCCTCCTCCTCCTCCTCCTCCTCCTCCTCCTCCTCCTCCTCCTCCTCCTCCTCCTCCTCCTCCTCCTCCTCCTCCTCCTCCTCCTCCTCCTCCTCCTCCTCCTCCTCCTAACGAAAAAACACGGGAGGTCGAACATTGGCCACAACCTGTCGCCGTGGACTTGTTCGCAAGGGTCACGGCGACTCGAATCCTCGACTCGGTGGGATTCGGCTGGCTGCGGGGCGCCTCCTCCATCGGGGGCGGCCAAGAGGGGGGCGTCCAAGAGGGGGGGGGGGGGGGGCGCAATTCATGGCAGGCGGCATGTGCGCGGCCCAGGGGGGGAGCCAGGGACGCAATGAAATAAGAAGAGGCGCCACAAAATCTGGGGAAATATCATGGCCCATGCCATGATTTCCCCCCCCCCTAGTCATCACCCCCCTCTTTTCCGCCCCCCACTCTCGGGCCGGGCGAAAGGGGGGGATATAGCAAAGGGGGGGTTGAGAATCAGCTCACGTAGCTGATTTTCACGGCGCCTCCCGGCGCCAGAGGCGGCCATGTATCGAGGCATGGGCCCTTCGGCGGGGCAGAAACCAGCTGCACGCAGCAGATTTCGTACCCCCCCCCTTTCCCCATCCCCCCCCCTGCGTCGGGCCCGAGACTCCAGGGCCCAGCTCGGCGCTCGCCCTCAACAGGGGAGCGCCCCAGCGCCCCGCGCCCCCACCCCCCCTCAGGGGGGTGCGTCGGGGGTGCACCCATCCCCCGGGACCGGTTCTTCATCCTGCGAGTCCTTTTCTGGCGGTCCCGAGGGCCGGTGAGGGCCCCCAGAGGCCGAAAAACATAGAAAAGCCTCCCGTCGTGGTTTCTTCGTGGCTCGAGGGGCTCTGGGACCCCAGGGCCCAGCTCGGCGCTCGCCCTCGACCGGGGAGCGCCCCGGCGCCCCCCCCCTCGGGGGTGCGTAGGGGGTGCACCTCGAGATATTCTGGTGCGCCGATGATCCGTGTCTTCGAAAAGTCAGACACTGGAACGTAGTACATTACCAGTGGCGGGCTGTTTCTTGAATCCCAGGAATTTTTGAGGGTCGGGGACGACGCTGTGGTGGTGTGGTGTATACTTGTTTCCCCGATGTCCAATGGAAAACAACGAAACATGTATCCACCAGGATCCCGTATACACCAGAATCCGCGTTCCTGTGCGAATGTCAGCGCAGGGTCGGGAAAAGCGTCGGTGTATAGAGCTCGTTTCCCTAAACAGGCTCCCTGGCGAGTACGTGTAGTACCCGCCCCTGGGCTACTCCACATTTCGTAATAAAAGGGAGGGGGTCTGGACCCTCCAAGACAAGCCATTTCAGACCTCCCCCGTGGGAGGACCCTCCAAAACGTCGCCCCCAGACCCCCCAGGCCCTCCAAGATAGCCTGGAAGAGACCCCCCCGAAATGAGACCCCCCTCCTTTTACTACGAAATCTGGAGTATTCGCCCCTATCGTCGCCGCCGAAGCTCGGCGCTCGCCCTCGACCAGGGAGCGCCCCAGCGGCCCCCCCCCCTCGGGGGTGCAGCGGGGGTGCACCTCCGATGCCCCCCTGGCCTGCCCCTCCACGGGCCAGCTCTCTTTGCGAAGGGGTCCAGGGACACACAGAGAAATGCACACTGATAACAGGATTCTACATATCTTCCCATACACACACAAAGAACAGGAATATATACATATATATACACACAAATAAATACACACTAATAACAGGATTCCCCACAATACATACATACATACATACCTACCCACATACATACATACATACATACATACATACATACATACATACATACATACATACATACATACATACATACATACATACATACATACATACACACAGATAAGAACACACACACACACACAAATAACACGATACAGATCCCCCACAAATAAATACACACAAATAAATACACACAAAGAACTGGGGCCCATGGGTTTTTGCCTTCCCCCGCACTTCCCATCTGTTCACACATGTTCTGGGGAATCGGCGACGAATTGTCTCTCGGTGACTGTGTGTGTGTTTCTTGCCTTGCTGATCTTGCTGGG